TATAAGAGACAGGTGCCCACCCCGTGCTGGGGCATGCCCACGGCAGTGGCCATGGCCAGGCTCTCACCTGGCCTGGGCTCCACGGTCACTGGCCCCAGCGGCACGTTCTCATAGGGGCTGTCGTCCTCATCAGGGGCTGCGGGGCAGGCGAGGGCAGTGAGCGGGGTGGCTGCAGCAAATTTCAGGTCAGCATAGACCACGGTCTGGGCCATGCCCGGGGCTGCCCGAGTGGCTGATGGCTCCTGCTCCACTGTGGTCGCCCACTCTCTTGTGGCTGCAAAGGAGAAGTGTGGCTTGGTTTTGCATAAGCAGTTTTCTGTGAGGTGCAGCAGAGAGGAGCAGGAACATACAGCCATTGGCCCTCACACTGCTGTCCTGTCCCCTTCCACGCCCCGAAAGTACTCAGGGTCCCCTGGGATGGTGTCAGCATGGTGCAGCTCGTGGTTGAGGTGCTGGGCAGAGCTGCAATAGCTTACTGAGAACAGACCCAAGTCCCTCCGGCAGGGGAGAGTGAGGCTGGTTTTCTTGTGGGAATAGGTCGCTCTTGGGCTGGCCGCGTGCAGGGTGGATGTGCTCTGTTCAGCGATTTTTGAGCATCACTGCCATGCAGAAATGTTTGCTATAATGCCTAAAATGAGTTTCCACACTGCAGTGTGGGCTCTTGTTCTCCCCTTCTGGACATGGCTTCCCACTCTGCCAGCAAGGAGACCACAGAGTACAATGTCCCAGACCTCGAAGGGTCATGATATATAGCTCCCTCTGCTCTTCCCTTGTCGCCAGTGCCCCCACAGCAGCAGGCAGGCAGGTCAGGCAAGTGCCACTTGCCCTTGATAAATCACTCTGGGCCAGCACCATGTCCTCCCTGTGCCTGGACCACTGTGTGCCCAGGAGGACATGCTCCATCTTTTTTCGGCGGAATCGGTGGAAGCTATTCAACTTTTAGTTTTCCAAACCTCCTTCCTGTCCTCTTTGAAGCTGGCCTTGATTTTTGCCTTTCTCCAGTGACGAAAGACTTCTCCTGCTCTTTGCGGAGGTGATGGTGAGTGGCCTTGCCATGCTGTGCTCCACCAGCACTCCTGCACACACAGTCCTACCCCAGGAACTGACTGTGTCCAGCTGTGCCCCAACTCAGTGCCCCTTCTGAAACCTGCCTTTCTCTGCATGCAGTTCAGTGGAGACCTCCAAGACACTGAGGGGCTGTAGGTTGGGACTGAGGAGGAGATGCTGCTGGGGCTGTGTTCAGGAAGGGAAGGCAGAGCAGGTGTCATTGCTCTATGCAACTCTCTGGCGGGACGGCTTGGGGTGATGCCAAAGCTGGGGTCTTCTAGGCAAGGACCAGGGAGAGAATGAGAGGCAGCAGCACAGGCTACATGGGGAAATCTGCATCTGTGAAGAACTCCAGCCCTCCACAGGGCTGTCCCCAGGCAATGTAGTCCTGTGTCCAGGCTGGCCCTGCTCTCCCCCGGCTCTCCCCTGGCCAAGGGATTTGGATCCGTCTTTGCTCAGCCGCTGCCCTGACCTCAGGCTGTGCTGCTCTGGCCCTGCATCATGCCCAAAGGGACCATGAGAAGTTTTTGGGCGTGGGAGGGGCTGGGCAGGTGGTGCTAGGACCAATGAGATGATGCTGGTACCCGCAGCTGTGCCTCACTGGTCGCATCTGCTACAGCTCAGATCAAACTTCTGCTTCTGCAGACACTGGCTGCACTTTGTACCTCTGAGACAGCTCAATCACCAGGGAGCAGAACCATCCCAGAAAGGCATCGCAAGGGCACGGTGGGAGACAGCAGTGCTCAGGGATTGCTCAGCGCTTCCCCACATGGCCCAAAGTGTGGTTTATGCTGACCTGAGGTTTGCCAAGGTGATGGGGGGCCGGAGCATGGCCAGCCAGGCGCTGGAGGCAGGTGAGAGCCTGTGGGACCCCCCGCGCTGCCCCCACCATGCCCAGCCCTGTGGACTCAGCCGCTGTCCCCTGCCTTCCTTGAACAGCCCTCGGCATGGATGAGGCAGAGAGCCCCTACGAGAACATGCAGCCAGCGCCGGTGGGGCAGGATGGGGTTGGGGCCCAGCCCAGCCCAGGTGAGTGCCCAGCTGGAGCCCAGGGGACCCGGGGAAGTCCTGGTGTGGGTGGTGGGTGGTGTTTTGGGGTGCTCCCACTCCCATTCTTGAAGAGAGGAAGTGCCTACCCCCATGCCACCTGTGCCACCATGCTACCACACCACTGCTTGCAGGCGGGAGGTCTGGGGGCTGCCGGGAGTTTCCTGACTCACCAGCTGATGCCTATGGTTGGTTATGTCTTACAGGACGCTGGTCCTGGCAGTGGTGCATCCGTGTGGGGCTGCTGGCAACCTGCCTCCTGCTGCTGGTGGCCACTGTGGCCCTGGGGGCTTGCTGTGAGTTGGGCTGGTGGGCACTTCTGGGGCTGGGGGTGGCTGGGCACTATGGGGAGAGGGAGGTGGCTGGGCTGGGGTGGGTGCCGTGGGTGAACAGGGAGGTGAATAGAGGCATGTCTATGCACACTGCTCATGTCTGGGTCCCTCTGCCCTGTCTGCCACGATGTGGCCTGTATCCCTCACGTACCATGGGTACCTCCCTTCCCTTCCATCATCCACCTTCTCCACCCCGTTCTTCGTTTCTGCTCCTTTCCCTTCCCTTCCAGATGTTGCCCAGACTTGTATTGCTGCACCCTCCCTGCCCCTGCCCTGAGCTGTCTGCTCCTACACTCTATCCTGCCTTGCCCTGCTCTCCCCTGCCAGATCTTGCCCACTCCCTGACCATACACCTCCATGCCATGTCTTCTTCCCCATCCTTTCCCACCCAGCACAGATGCCTCCCTGCCTTGCCCTGCCCATCCTATCCCCTGATAAGGCTCAGTACCATGTCCCCCTGGCCGGGCTGTCCCATCCCTGTGCTCCAGCTCATGCGCCCTGTCCCCAGACTGGCAGGTCACCCGCAGACTGCAGGACACGTCCCGTGAGCACGCGGCCGAGCAGGGCCGCCTCGAGCGGGAGGTGAGCGTGCAGCAGCAGAGCCTGGAGCAGGCGCGGCTGGAGCTGGCGTGGGCCAGAGCAGAGCTGCAGCGAGCGTGGCGAGAGGGCAACAGCAGCCGGCTGGAGCTGGGGAGCCTGAACGCTGAGCTGGGGCGCGTCATGGGGGTCCTGGGGAAGACAGAGAAGGAGATGCAGGAGGTGCAGGGGAAACTCAACAACAGCGAGAGCACTGTGGCCATCCTGCGCTCCTGCACAGCTATAGGTAGGATGATGACAGAGCAGGGATGGGGTGCCCCAGGGGGCTGACACCCCTCAGCAGGTACAGTGCCATGGCACGAGCACTGGCTGTTTTCGCCACATGGTGGGGACAGGGTGGTCTAAAAGCTGAAGCTACACCTGGAGCAGAGGCTGAGCCTATGATGTCTGCTGGGAAGATGTGGGTCTGTTACTGGTCCCTCCCTCAGGGCGTTTGTGGCTGAGCAAGTACCTGAGGTGTTCCCCTGCCCCCAGATTGCTGCCCTTCGGGCTGGTTGCTGTACAGGGGCAAGTGCCTCTTCATCTCATCGGAGAAGAAGACATGGGAGGACAGTAGAGATGAGTGCGAGAGGAAATATTCTCAGCTCCTGGTCACCAAATCCTGGAGTCGCTGGACCGTGCCGGTAGGGTACTGGGGGAGCTGAGGGCAGGAGCTGGTGCATCCAGCCCTGGGCTCCCCAGGTGGGCCACCACCCCTCTGCGGGCCCCTGGCCTACCAAAACATTGGAAGGTGCAAGGCTGATCTTGGAGCATGTGAGTGGCAGTGCACGGGGCATAGAGGCTCTGGCGTCCCTGGATGCTGCCTGAGCTGGAGCAGGGCACCAGGGCTGCCTAGCTCTTCTGCCCCAAGGAGCTCCAGCCACAGGAGCTCCTTGGGGAGATGAACACCCCCTGTGAACACCACAACACATAGGTACCACGGAAAAGCCACTAAAAGGCCCTTTTTCTCCTTCCCCAGACCTTTCTGAAGAATGCAGACATCCCATACTGGATTGGGCTGCAGAAGAGCAGTTTCCCCTGGTATGACTACGGCTGGCTGGAGGAAGGGGACCCAGATGGCGAGGAGGTCTCAGACGCCTGGTTTTGGGTGGACGGCTCCCTTTATGAAAGGTACCCAGTGGCATAGCCTCTTGCCAAAACCCCCTCTCCTCCAGCATGGCTTTAGGAAGGAATTTCAAATCCCATTGGTACCCAGTCCCAGTCACAAGCATTGGACAACAAAGAGCGACAAAGCAGCTGAAGCCAGGGGAGGCAGGTGCAACGGTGTGGTGAGATGCTTAGAGGCCATGCAAATGGAAAGCCAAGACTTGTTGAGGCATGTGCAGGGCATGCACAAGCAGGAGGCAGCGAGAGGGGAGAAAAGAAACCTCGTTTTATTTGGGGTCTAGAAAAAAACCTTTAGGCAACACCTCTATCCCCCACAGCGCCTCCTTGGTTTCTCCTTGAGGGTAAATCAAGCCTTCCCACCCACAGAGGGTCCCAGGCTCCTCTCTGCCACGTGCACCCCCTCCCCAGCTCACCACCACTTCCTCCTGCAGTGTCTGAGAGCAGTGGGGAGGAACAGACTTGTCTGGCTGGGTGCTGGGTACCCAGTCTCTGCCCACTGCCTGCCCCTCCATTCTCACCCCCGATGTGGGGATCTGCACCCCACCATGGCCCCATGGCCCAGGGCAGCTCCTCTGGGCATCCACACACCCCCAGGGATGACCAGGCTCTCCCCACTGCTGGGTGCTGCAGGGATGAAATATCCCGCAGCAGCGAGGCTGAGATTCAAGCAGCATGGAGACTAAGGGGAGTCGCAAGCGGTGCAAACTTTTGCAGAGGGATTTCTCAGCCTGCCTAGGAAGGGCAGGGATGCGTTGGCTGAGGCTTCAGACTGTGAAATCAGGGGAGGACTGGGGGATCCCCGCTTTGACTGCAACATTCAACCCCTCATGTGTGAGCGTACAAAAGGCAGCTGTACTGCCTTGGCAGAAGGTGGTGGGTAAGGCAGTGGCAGCCCCCAGTGTGTTGTTTCCCCATCCAGACCATGGCAGTCAAAGTTGAATGGATCCTGTGCTGTAATAAGCCGTGGAAACATCAGACCTGCCCAATGTGCTGGTCCCGAAGACCTGCACCTCTGGATCTGCGAGAAGGCAGCGGGTCCGAGCTCCCCTTTCATGTGATGATGGTCTCTGGCCCCAGCACCTCTGGGGTGAGTGTGCCCATGCCATGTTCTGCTGAACACTGGTGTGTGTAGGGCCTGTGGGGTGTGTAGTATGGAGGAAAGTGGGGAGCCTGGATCTCTGCGTGGGCAGGTTGACCCCCTCCCTTGGAAAGGGAGAGGGATGCAGGCACCTCTCAGTGCTAGACAAAGCCTGCCTCCATCCCTTCACTGCCATGGGAGCCGCTGGTCTGTGGTAGGCTCAAGAGATCCCCCACAAGCTGTGGTGCAGCAAAAGGGACAAGATGGGGGAAACCCATGCATGCAGTGGAGGCTGAGCAGCACCTCACCTTCACCCTCACTCTGTGCCTTCTCTTGCAGCACCTCCACCCTGCTCTGCCTCTGCTTCAGCCTCGCTGCTCTCCTGCCCGGCATGTCCCATCCATGCAAGCAACCCCCTTCCCTCTCACGGACCCCTGCACACGCACTGCCCAGGTCCTTCCCAGAGATGCCCAGTGATGCTCTGCTACCACCCAGGCTGGGGGAGGCGGCGGCAGTGGCCGTTCCCCCTCAGCTGATGTGCTTCAGCAGAGCAGTACAGGCCCCACAGCTCAGACCCACACCTGCATGGGGTATGCTGGGTCTTCCTGAGCACAGGGGCTGCTGTGCGATGGGGAGCCCTGACCCGGCCACAGAGTGGGGCAAGCCCTTGATGCTCAGTGCTGCAGCCATACAGCATCCCTAGCATGGAGCACACTGTGGTGTTGGCATGCAAGGACATGGCAGTAGGGGACAGCACAGCCCCACACCCAGCCAGGTCCCCTCCCCAAAGCAGAGACTTTCTGCTTGGCCCTACTGCAGAAGCAGCTTGGCTATGGCTTTCAGGCAAGCCAGCAAGCAACAGCCTCGGTGCCCAAGGCGGGAAGCTGCACCTGAACAGTCTGGTGCCTGTGCTGGTGGTGGGGTTTTTTTTGCTAATTAGAAAGTAGAGCAATGACGTTTAGGATCGTATGATGTGATGGTGCCTTTCAAAAGCAAATCTGGCACTTGCAGTGGCTGATGCTTTGTGAGACAAGTAGTCAGGACTTTAAACAGTTATTACACGCGTGCACATGCAAAGATTAAGCAAAATAGCCCTGATATAACATTGCAGCCAGGCAAGAGCAGAGGAAGTCATGTTCAACCAAGCAAAAACGCTCTGGTTTATTATGGGGTCATGCGTGCCATATGTAGTTGATTAACAGCTATGTGAATTAGCCTGCTTGAAGAGCAAAAGGGTGTTAAAGGCAGGCTTTTTGGAGGTGGCACATGTCACTCCTCTCTCTTGTCCGCTGGCTGACTTTGTGGCAATAAAGAGTAACAGTTTGTCTGCTCTTTGCTTTCTTGTGTGCCACTACAAACATGAACTCAAGGGCACAAACCCAAAGAACCTAAATTATAAATGGGAATTTGACCGAAGCCATTTCAGCCAAGATGGTCACTTTAGGGCCACTGAGATCTTGGTCTGAGTCAGGCTGGCTTGTGGTCCCCAAGAGGCTCGCAGCAGCCCCAGGCAAGCCTGTGCAACCTTTCAGGGCCGGGCTCCCCTCTGTGTCTGACGCACATCCAAGAGACAGAAGCAGGAGTCTGAGTTACTAGGACATTGTTTTTACTGAACACTTTAAATAAGCTGGGTATATATTCCTAGCCATTAATAACAAAACCCACAAGAGTTCTGCATTCACCAGTGCATTGTGCGGGAGGGAGGAAAGCCGGCTCCCACCCTTGACAGGGGCTGGGCAGCATGGCCATGTTGCTCACCAGCCCATTCCCCCAGTGCCAGGATGGCACCTAGCCCCTCTGCCAGCATCCCGCTCCCAAACCCATGTGTTGGGAAGTGGCGTGCTGCGACAGCTCAGCACGCAGCTATCGGTGCTGAGTGGGCACAGGCAACTCAAGCACTGGCAGTCTTCCCCCTGCACTGTACCCTGGGCATTGCCTATCTCCCAACCCCCTTCACGCCTCTCCCTGCATCAGGGGAGCACGGGGACATCCCCCCAGCCCCACAGGGTTCCCCAACAAAAACATAAACACACTGACCCCTCCACCCCCAGCCCAGCCCTGCTCATCCCCCAACTTGGGGGATAGTAAGGGAGCTCCTGGTTCTCCTGGAGGAGCAAGCTCATTGCACACCTCTCAGAGCCCACAAAGCAGTGAGCCCTTGGGGAAGAGAAATCCTGCATCCAGGGTTTGAGCCCTGGATGCGAGCTCAGAGCAGGGGTGTTATTGCACTTCAGTCCCCAGCAGGGACCCCAGCCTATCCCCAGGGGTCCCCACAAATCCCCAAGATTGATTCTGGTGGGACAGGTGCCCAAATGCCTAGGCAGCACTCTGGCAGCCATGGCATGGGGCACCGTGGCCACCAGTGGCCACCAAACACAGAGCAAGCCAAGGCAGACCGTGGGGACATGCCGGGCTCCTGTGGCTGCCCAGTGTTGGGGCTGCAGAGGGGTCTGGGGGGCGGCTGGATGCAGCCCGGCCCCCCAGGGCTCCCCGGCACTAGGACTGTGCCTCTGGCAGCTTCAGGCTGGGCTCCGCCAGCACTGGCCCCGCGGCTTTCTGGTGGGGGCTCCGGTCATGGCAGAGGAGGCTCTTGGTCTCGCAGTTGAGGTTCTGGTAGCGGGGCGGGCTGGGTGCCGGCCGGTGGCAGACGGAGGTGAAGCTGAAGGGACTCAGGCAGCAGCCTGGACAGGGCAGCACGTCATCCTGCTCCACAGCACTGGAGCCGTGCCCGGGCAGCATGGCCACGCGCTCCGTCCGCTCCAGCGTCGCCGCGCAGGGGATGCTGAGCTCAGAGAAGCCATGCTCCAGCCCTCTGCCCCAAGCCAGGGGTTTGCTGACCACTTCGTGATTGTTGTTGAGCCCGCTGGGGGCTTGTGGCTCCATCTGCCACGGTCGGGCGCCCGAGGATGCCGTGCGGATAAAGTTGCTGTTGGGCAGCGGTGGCAGGGGCTGTGGCGGCTCGGGGCTGTCGGGGCCACAGTCCATCCGCTCCTCCGCCCCAGGATTGAATGGTGTGGCTCGTTCCCAAGCTGGGGGAGGAAGGAGGGTGGGAGGCTGGGGGTCGTCAGTGAGATGGAGAGACCCCACCTGGTCCCCCCGGTGGGGCAGCTCAGGGGAGGCGGGCAGCGAGTGGCACTTGCGGGGGCTGGTGGCAGGGGCCGAGAAGTCACACTGCACCTCCATGGCAGGCTCGGGCGTTATGGGCGTGTCGAGCTGGACCAGGGTGGGGGGCGGAAGGTTGAAGGTGAGCGAGATGACTGACTTGCTCGGCGTGTCGAAGAGCTTGATCTTCCCCCCCTTTAGGTCCTCACGCTGGGAGAAGGGGTTGACGCGTGGGGATGTCTCCTTGGTCCTGGCCCCGCCGTAAGGCTCCAGTGAATGCGGCAGGGCAGGCAGTTTCACGGAGAACATGTCAGACTGGCTGCGGGACAGATGCTGGTCCGGCTGCAGGTGCTGTGTTCCCAGTTCACGCAGGGGCGACTGTTTGGCAGAGTCAGCTGCCCTCCCGGACACCCCTGAGCATGGGTATAGGAGTGGGTCAGCAGCTGCCAGCAGCTGTTGCTGAGGGGTGCTATGGGAGTGCACCCTAAGGCTGTTGGGTGCCCAAGAGGGGAACAGCGACTGGTTCCATCCTACAGACCTCATGCAACCCCTGTCTCCTTCCCCTACAGCTGCTGGGGTAGGATAAGACATCGCACATCCCCCCCTCCTTGAACCCCTCTACAGCCCATCCCTGGGACACCCACATACCACTGAACGTGGCTGCCATCCCAGGTGTGGGCAGGCTCTCCCCGATGCTGAAGAGGGTGGCCCCGGTGCCCTCCACGTCCAGCTGGTGCTGCAAGATGTCCTCCAGGCACTGCGTGATTTCCAGAAACGAGGGGCGGGAGGTGGGCTCCATCTGTGGGTAGGAGGGGTTTCCTGTCAGGTCTGAGGTCTCCTAAGCACCCCGGGGAGCACTGCCCAGCAAAGGCAGTTCCCTGCCTCTTCCCCTGTGCAGGCAAGGCTGCCTGTCCTGCCCAGCTGCCCCAGCAGGGAAGGGCAGCAGAGGTGGGAGGCTCACACTGCAGCAGTGGAAAGCGAGCTGGAGGAAGGCTGATGGGCAGTCAATTCCCACCATGGTGCGGAAAGTGGTGACATCCAGACCAAAATCCTGCGCCAGGGAAAAGAGGAGAAGTGAGGTTGGGTCCCTTGGGACACCACATGGCCTGAGGGACCCAGAATGGCCTGGCTCCCCCTCCCCACACTGACTGCGTGTCACCCAGGGCTGTGGATCTGGCAGCACCCCAAGCTGGGGAAATGGTGGGGGATGCGGGGACACAGATCCCTCATGCTCTCTGCCTGAATCCAACTGTCCCCTTCTCCCGCCCATGCTGACTACGGGCTCTGATGACAGGATATTAGCAGAGAGCATCCCTCTGTGGGCAGCATTTGGGACACAGCACCCCTGTCCCAAGATGCAGGGCAGCTCCTGCACATGGGGCTCTGCCCAGAACAGGATGGTCCCGTTCATTTGGTGAAGTGGTCCCAGCCCTGGTGCTGCTGACCACCCACCCTCCCTCCCTGCCTCCCTGTCCCAGGGAGTCACCTCAGTGCGGGGCAGGTAGTCGGGGTCAGCAGGGACACGAGCGATGGTCTCACACAGGATGATGCCGTACGCAAACACATCGGCCTGCAGAGAGCAGGGAGTCATAGCAGGGCCCTGCAGCCCCAAGGCAACGTGCCCACCCTTCCTTACACTCACAGCCTCCCTCCTCCCTGTGGAGCCACGCTGGGGGCCCTCCCTCCTCGCCACCAGAGGGATGCCCAGTTCCTGCCCTCTGTGTGCCCAAATGCCCACAGGGCTGCAAATCCTGCAAACTGCTGGCAGTGCAAGCCTGGATAAAGCCCCCCACACAAAGCAGACAGGGAGTCTCACCTTCTCATTGTAGATCTCCCCTCGCAGAACCTCGGGCGCCATCCAGTACGGGGAGCCCACCACAGCCAGTGGCTCCTTCTCACTGCCCTCACTGGGGGACATGGAAGGAGATCAGGGGCTGCCTACAGTCCCCTGTCCCTGTCTAACCCTAATCTTCCCACTGGGGCAGCTCAAATCACCATCTCCATCTCCCTTCCAGGGCTAACCCTCCTCCATGCACCCTGCAAACTCATCTCTCACCACCCACACCATCCCCTTCTCCAGCCCCTCTCAGCCAACCCCAAATGTGTCCATCTGCCCCAAGCCACCACTGTTGGGGATCACCCCCACCACCCCCCATCCCTGCCCTTCTACTTGCATCCCAAATGTCCACCCTTCCCCAGCTCCTGCTCTGAGTTGTCTGGAACACCCCCCCCACTCCAAGGATGGGGACAGAGGGGTGGATGCTGCCCACGCACCTGTAGGTGGGGATCTTCTCTGCCAAGCCGAAGTCACCCACTACAGCTGTGTAGCTGTTGGCCTCGCAACGCAGCAGGCAGTTCTGTGGGCACAGGAGGACCCCGGTCACACCAACCACACCAGCCCTGCCTCACTGGCCACCGGGATACCCCAGCACAGCACAGCCTCCTGCTCCCCAGCTGGCCACGCCTGGGGCAGCAACGTGGGTATGGGACAAGGTAAACATGATGCCTTAGAGCATCCTGTACCTTGGAGGTGAGGTCACGATGGAAGATGCCCTTGGAGTGCAGGTAGCGCAGGCCACGGGCAATGTCGAGGGCCAGCTTGACACGTGTAGACCAGGAGAGGGGCACAGGGCTGTCCAGCAGCTGCTCCAGGTTCCCACCGTTCATGTACTGATGGCAAGAGCCAGGCCATTGCATCACTGCGCCCCACCTCCCTCCCATAATGCTGGATGGCCATTTCTCATCCCCCAAGCACCCCACGGCACAGCCTCCCAGTAGACCTTGCCCTGCACATGCACCACAGACTGAGCGAGTTTTCCCACAGCCATCGCTGTGTCCCTCCCCAGGCTTGTGGGAACCCCAAGACTCACGGCTGTTGCCCCGCTCTCACCTCTGTCAGTGCATGAAGCTGTCCCTGGTGCACACACACCCCCATGAACCTGCGAGATAGAGGGGACCTGAGGGTGACCGCAGCAGGGACCAGCCCCAGGAGCTCATCCAGGGCTGGTGGTAGCTCCACATATCCCAGGCTGGGGAACAGGGGTGCAATGGGGATGGCAGCAGGGGAGCAGGTCCTACCTGAGGATGTTGGGATGCGAGAGGCGGTTCATCAGCTGCACCTCCCGCAGCATGTTGCCCCGGTTGCTGGTCAGCTTGTTCATCTTCAGCACCATGATCTGCCCCGACTGGCGGTGCCGCACCTGGAGGGGGGTGGAAAGGGAGGCTGATCCCCACGTGTCTCTGCAGCCCCCCCAGACAGCAGCATGCACCCAGCATACACCCCAGTCCTAGAAGCAGGAGCTGAGGACCCCATGCAACTGAGGCATGGGGCACCCCAGGGACTGTTAGGGTTAGGGAGGGCTCTCCCAGCACAGCCCCAAGGACCCCTAGTGCTGATGATGCACATCCCCATCCTCCTCAGAGCACCCTGCTCATCATACCCCCAACACCACTACACTGGACAGCCCTCCTGGAGAGGCAATGGCAGCTCCTACAAGCTGTGACCTCAACCCTGCAGGAAGGACAGGCAGTGGCACGATTGGGGCGCACCAGGGAGGGCTTTTTTTGGGTCAATATCACCCAGCCAGACCCTACCAGCATGGGACAGTGGGGGCACACTGCCCCCCTGAACCAGCCCCATGGTTGGCCAACGTTGCCCCAGCGCACGATCCCAGTCTGGCAGGGTACAGCGCTCAGACGAGGCTGTATAATTATCTGGCCCCAGCCTGACGCTGTCATGTAAGCGGGGGGGCCTGTCCCCCTGCCAGGAACAGCAGCTGGGAGCGCGGCCAAGCACGGACACCCCTGTCCTTCTGCAACCCCCTGGCACGTGCAGGGTGAGGGATGAGCATGGATTCCCCTGCCCCAGCACCATGCTGGGGAGGGGCCAAACTGGTGCTGAGGGTCCCCTCCTGAGTGTGTGCTGGGTATAGGATGGGACCCCCCCTGAACAGCAGCCAGTATTGGGGGACAACCCGGCGGATCCCAGCTGCCCCCCAGCACACACCAAACTGTGCACGGAGGCGCAGGCATTCCTTGGTGCTGCCGTCAGCTCCCTGCTCCTCTCCTTTTTAGTCAATGCTGGTTGAGGCTGCTGTGTCAGTGCCAGCCTCTGGCCACCCCCTTGCCTCAGGGATCACCTCACTGGACAAAACATGGGGGTCTGCCTGGAGGCAGGGTTCCCAGTGCACCCCCCATCCTGCTCACAGCTTGGCCCCTGTCTCCATCACAATGTGGGGAGGCTGGCAGGCTGGGCTCTCTTCTCACCTCACAGCTGCCATTGCTTTGGGGAAAAGCTGTCCTGAGGTGTACTCTGACATGGGGACCTACCCAGCACCCAATACCCAGGGGATTGGCAGCGGCTTCCCCCCACCCACCCCACCCCGCAAAG